GTTCTCCATTCTACAGATGAGAAGACAAAGGTTCTGAGAGGGAAAGTGACCAGGCCAGGACTAGAATCCAAGCAGCCAAACACAAGGATATAAGTCTGCAGTAAAGTGGGCAAGATATGGACAGTGCAGTGAGCTTTTAACAAAGCAGAATGTGTTCAGTTTGAAGAAATGAATACCTCCCCCCCGATGTTATATAACCTTCTTTGGGGTGTTTTTGAGGTGTTAGAATGCTCTTCCCCTCACTGTAGTATTAGTAAACAGAACTCTATTTAAGTGTCATCTGGCAAAAGAACAAGTTGGCCAGTCTGGGGCAGAGCCCCAGCGCCCTGATCTAAGCTGAGAGCCACCGCCCGGCCAGGTGTCCAGGGCAGCCCCCAACCAGCTCTACAAGCATCAAAGTCTGGGCTGACACGCTCCCCACACCTCCTGATTCAAACCAAACCCCAACCCAAAACCCAAACACCTCTCTCTGTCTCTCATCCTACTTTGAAGAGGTGGTTCTAAATCATCACTTTCTTGAGCCCTCTCCCTCTAGCAACCCCACAGCACACGTTCATGCCTCTTGTGAAATGTATTTCACTCTGCCTCAAGTTAAAAGTTATCTGTATCTGACCCCCTTTGTACCCCCCCCAAAGTGGCTCTAGAACAGAAGAAAGCATTGCCGAACTGTTAGCCAGTCAGAGTCTGAAGAGCCCTCAGGAATTGCCTCCTCTGACTCCTGTGTTGCAGAAAGCCAAGCACCTGCCTCAGGCCACGCAGGCAGCTGGCGGCAGAGCTGTGAGGACACAAGTCTCCCAACTTCTTGATGCTGGCTCTTTCCACCACACCAGGCTGTTCCAGACTCTCCCTTTCAGTTGGCTCTGCACTTCAATTCAGAGGACAGGGCTGAGAGTGTGACAAACACTTCACAGAAAAATATCTGTTCAGGAAGAGATACAAAACCAGCCAGGGAATGCAGGCCACCCTTTCCCAAGGGTTCTCAGCTCTAGCTTCCTGTCATAGGCCTCCAACCTTCCCTGAGTGCGAGTGGGCCACCAAAGTAAGAAATGGCCTGCAGGCCTCAGTTACCTGGGTGCAGAAACCCCTTCTGGCTCAGAAATACCATCCCCACCAGAACAATACTATGATGCTGGTCTTTCTGGGTAACCTTAGGGAAATGCCTTTACCACTCTGGGTGCTAGGTGGAATGCTGAGAACAGAGGAGGAAGAGCTCTCTAAGTCTACTGGATGACTGCAGGGACTAGGCAAGCTTTCCTGGAGGAATTTCAGTGCTATGCTTCTAGAAGCTTCTAAGGACAGGAAAGGTTCTGTTCTGCCCAGGACAAATGGATAGTTCCAACAGAACTATGCCACAGACTGAGCAGACTTTGGTCAATTTTTCGGTTGCTGGAGTCAAAAGTCAACTAGTTTTCATGACTGTTTAGAAACACTCTAAGCTGAGCGTCATCATCATCATCATCATCATCATCATCATCATCATATCAGCAGCAGTCACATTACTAGATATAATATAAACTCGATGTAGAAAATAAAATGATAATGGTATCAGCTCTCTAAAGCTTTCCTGACCCCTGAGTAGGAAAGACCAGTCCCTTTCTCTGTCTCCTATGACAGCCCATGTTACTACTGTGCACCAGAGCTCCCAGACACTTCATCATGTGAGTGTGTGTAGGTGTTTGGCTCCTTCTGTTATATGTGAGCCTCGGAAACTGGAGACAACCTCTTACTCACTGAGCCCAGGGCCTGGCTAATGTAATAAACAGATTTGGCCAATGCTTATCTAGGTAAGGAGTCCCCTCTGTGCCTATTCTGGGACAAGGTGGTATTTGGGCCTTTTATGTAGGATGGGGACACTGACTCTCAAAGGAAAGGGTTCCCCCGCTACTCCATCAGTGAGAAGGCTCAGACTGACCCCTAGTACAGTGCATTTTCAGATAAACTTTCTAGGATTCTATAACACACCAGCCTGATAACTCTGGGAAACACTTGCTTCTCGGACCTGGCTTTCTCACTTATAAAACCAATAAAGGTCTAGTGTGATACAATTACAGTGGATTTTCTGAGAAGTCAATATGTGAACCCATGTAAAACAACACATGGAAAGTCACAAAAAGGTGGCTGCCACATTTGTCGTTCTTGTTGATAAAGGGGCACCCCGTTGCCCATCAGCCAAGCAGAGACTGCCCTGAAAGGAAGCCTTTCCCTGATCTGCACGCTCCAGCCCAGCAAATGCCCTGCAGGAATCACTTCAAGGAAATGCCTGCACTGGTGTCGTGGACCGTCACAGGGTTCCCTACTCCAACCCCCTCTGCAGGCATGCACCCCCACATGCACGTGCACACACGCACATACAGCTGACACTGACGGCAGCAAAGTATGTAGAGGGCGTGCTCTTTCAGGCCACGGAGCACTTCTGCACTTTCAGGTATAGAATCTCGAGCTAGTGTATCTCTCTCAGCCTCAGTCTCCTCATCTTTTAAGTAGGTGCAATTCGTGGGGGCTCCCTGAGATAGGTAGTGGCCTGTACAGTTCTATTACTGATGCTGAGAATCAGAAATGATACTGAGAGTAACAGTTGTCCCATTTTTATTTAATAAATAAAGCCCACTTGACTAAGTGTCAGAACCAGAAGGGGCCATGTCACCCAGTCCTCTAACTTTGTAGCCATGGACCCAGAGGTGTGGAGAGGAGACGTGATCAATCAAGGCCTCACACACGGCAGCGTGAAGGGGGTGGGCCTGGCCAGTGAGGCCTGGGGCCTGGGTCTCCTGGTTTCCTACTGTGTCCTGTTTGGCCCGTTCATTCTCCTGTGTCCCCTTCTGACCAGACTCCTTCTCTTCTCAACCCCTCCTATGCCTTCACCTTCTCCTGCACCAGCCAGCAATGTTTGCCAGTGTCACCACTGTCGCCAGCACAATGAGCCCCTCAGCAGTAGTGATCACAACAGTCTTAGGAGTCATAATGGCAGCCAGCAGCCTGCACTGTGCCCAGTACTTAGACGTGCTTCTACCTACTGCGTCAACACATTCCCAAAGTTTCTCTCTAGTCTCATTGGCTTAGGGACATAACCCTCAAAGCTATTCGATTCAGCACTTCCTGGGCCTCGCCTGAGCCGGTGGACTCGTGGTGGGAGACACAGAGAGGAAGACAGAGCGGCTGCTCACGATCATTGGGGATTTGGGTAGATGTGGCCAGAACTTCCTTTGGTCCATCAAAATGTTCTGTCCCACTCCTCTTTACCCTGCAGTCGAGAAGCCAAACGTAACCGTGGAATAAATTGGAGCAAGAAGTGGCGAGTGCTAAGCTGGAAAGGACAGCAGGAGGAAAGATAACGAATGGAAAATAGGGACGCCCAAGGCTTGAGTGTTTTGGGAATTCGGTGAGACTCCAGGGAGGACCCTGAAGCAGCAGGGGGATCTGAGAGAAGTGAGGAAGCCTCGTCCCTGCCCTGTGGCAGACCAATACCCTGCCACGTCTGGTGCCTTAGGGACTCTGCCTGTGGCTGCCCAGATACCCCAAACCCAGTGCTGGGCTATATATCCCTCCCTTGGGGGTCACCCTTTGCTAGACTGAAGTCACAGTCCTTGCAGTGACTCTGGGTCACTCCCCAGGCTTCTGCCCGCAGCCCCACACACTCCAGCATCCCTGTTCCCCAGCAGGGACTCTGTCTGCAAGGCTGTGAAGAGACAGGCAGGTGGCAGAGAGGGAGGGGGGGTCGTAAGAGCAGCCACTCTTCCTCTCTTGCCCCCATCTACCTCGAAAGTTGTGTCCCCGAGAATGTACTATGTGCCGGGCACAGACACTATTTTAGATGTTCCACATACATCGCATTTAATCCCCACATCGATCCTCTGTGGCGTGTATCCTTACTATCAGATTGACAAACGAGGAAATGGAAGGGGAGTAGCCGACAAAGGTCACACTCCCCAGCGGTGTCGCAGGGATGTCACTGGAGGACTAGATGATGCTCCAGTTCCCTGAGGCCCACAAGGTCAATGTTTCACTCAAGAAGACCAGAGTTTAAAGAGATCGACTAAGGAAATGCCAGTTGTTTCACAGGTCTGAGTTAGATTCTGGGTTGCTTTCTTAAAGGGCCCCTCTGCCATGAGAGCTACTTGAGTGGTAGACAAAAGCCATGCACACCATCTAATCCAACACCTGCATGTAACAGCAGAACAGACAGACACCCACGCCTAGAGAATTTAAGATGGCTACTTCTGGCCTACTAGCAAGCTAAGAGACTAGAACCCCAAACTCAGGCGCCTCCCTACAACACCCTCCCTGCAGAGATCACCTTTTCCTGAGAAGCTTCTGCAGCACATCTCACTCTACCCAATGGGCAGAGAAGGCAGCCTGTGACCAGGCCCTCCTCAGCCTGAAGGGGTGAGGAAGGGAATGTGGGGTTCCCCAGGCTAGGAGATGTTCCAAAAGCCCAGTTCCCTGCCGGGAATCTGAAGGATAAAACATCACAGCCCAAGGAAGCTCCGGGGAGACCAAGAAAGACTTAGACTTTCCACTCTAGGGGTCACGGATGTTTTTTTCCAGATCTACTGCAGAGCCTGATGCTTCTGGAGGGAGTACATGAGGAAGCAGTCACAGGCACTTGACCTTGGGTTGGGTGTGGAGTTGCATCCTCCTTCCACCCCCAGGTACCCTTGTTCCTCCTCCAAGAAGAAAAAAGGCTTAAATGTTTGCCAAATGCTGGAGAAAGCAGAGAAACAGGAGTGGGGTGGTCTCTTAACCCTTCTAAACGCCCACCTTGGGCATCTTCCCTGCTGCAATCAGCATCCTCTAATTAGTGAATTTCACGGGAGAGGGGGCGCTTAGAAAGATGCAGGGGAATGAAGGGAGGGTAAGATGAGTCACAGTTAACCCCTCCTTGGTCGGTGCCCGCTAAAGGATTCTACCGCAGCCAGCGATCACCAGCTGGCCCCCCCGCTGCCTCGGCCCACCGCGGTGGCGCGCAGGGGACCCTCCCGGCTCGGTCGCGGCCTCCTCACCTGAGTCCACTCGCCCTCCGCAGCCCCGCCGGCTCGCAACGCTCCAGTCCGGCTTGGCGCAGCGCCTCTGCAGTCGTCGCTGCAGCTGCCTAGCCCTGATCAGCAACCTGCGGCGGTGGGGGGAAAGGCGAGAGTCCGTGAACTCGGGCGGGGCCGCCGGGGACACCCGGGCAGCCCAGCCCGGGCACTGACAGCTGGGCCGCCCGGCCCGAAAGCCGGTGGGGAGGCTGCCGGCCGGGTGCTGGGTCCGTTCCTCCGCGCCTTCCCTTCCCCCACCCCACCCTGGCACTGTTGGCTGCGGCGCGGGGCGGATGGGCGGTGGGCCTGAAGGTCCCCGGGGTCCCTGTCATCACCTGCGGAGGCTTCCATGGCTTCGGCTGCCCCGCCGGGCCCGCCGAACTGCTCGCCGGAGCCCCTGCTGGAGGCGGCTAGCTGGGTGCTCGCCCTGGCTGGGGCTGCCGGGAGGGAGGGGCGGAAAGGGTGAGGTGGATGGAGGGGATCAGCCAGTCGCCAGCTCGCCGGCAGCTGCGTAAGCGGCCGGTTTTCACTTTCCTTCTTAAAGAGATAGTTGGCATCTTGCTCCAGAGGGCGCTGGAGCCGAGACGTGAGCACGTACTGGGTGGGGTCGTTTCCCACCTACACACCAGACAGCACGCATGGCTGGGCGGTGGGGAGCGACAGAAAGCACAGTGGCCACTGGCGTGCTGTGTGACCCAGGGCAAGTCCCTTGGTCTCTCTGGGCCTCCGCTTTCTCATCTGTACCGTGGATGATGGCACCATCTCACTTCTGGCAGAATCGTCTTGCATCAATAGTTATTTTATTTGACTTCTTTTAGGAACGTTTTTCCATTTCTCAAACCGAGTACCTCTGAGTTTCACGGTTGTTTCAAGTGAACAGCACTTAGCCTGGCTGGAAAAACAATAGCAAGAATCTTAAATATTTGAAAATTAATGGTGTTTTTTTTTTATGTTAACATGCTTATCATTGGAAAAATGGAAAGATAATCACAATTTAAAGTTCATTAAACACCTTTCCCCTCCGTCTTTCACCGGCCACCACAGGTGAAACCATGGACAAGGGGAGGGGCAAGGAAGCTCCGTTCCTGGCTGACCCTCCCACTTCCAGCCATGCAGCTTTAGATGGGCTGGGTTTCTTAACTGCTCCATGTGAGGAGTGGGGGACAGTGGGAAGGGGCTCCTCTTTCTAATCCAGCCCTATCTGACTGATCATCTCTCTGCTCAAAACAACCCCTCACTCCTAATCTCTGTTCTCACGTCACCGTTTCAGGGAAGCCTTCCTTGACCATACTGAAGCAGCAACCCTTCCCACTGATACATTTACTGTTTGCTATCATCCCACTAGAATGTGGGACTTTGCCTTGTTCTCTGCTATGACACTTCCCTAATCCATCACAGGTGCTGAGCCACCACTAAGTGAAGGAGAGAACAAGTCTACACTAGGCCAGGTGGGTCTTCAGTAACCATGGTCCCTTAAGATTGAGACCTTAAGTCTCTGTCAACTTTGGGAAGGCTGAACTTAGTATCACTACTCTGCTCCCTAACTGAAAGAACAGATAAAGAGTTCACTGACTTTGTATGATTCTGAAATTCTGGCTGCTATTTATAGTGTATATAAAGACATAACTATTTAGGGGCCTCCCTGGTGGCCTAGGGGCTAAGTCTCAATGCTGTCACCACTATGGCCTGAGTTTGATCTCTGGCCAGGGAGCTGACCCCTATAAGGCACAGCAGCCCTCTCTGCTGGTCTGCTGCTCCCCTTAGTGTATGTCAGTGCATCTGCCTGTTCTGCTCCCCACTATGTCTCTGGTAAATCCTCTTACTCCCCGGCACCTCTGGTCTACACTTTGGCTCTTCTATGAATAAAGAAATATTTATTTGGAAGAAAAAAAGAAATAACTATTTAAGTTAACTGCTACTTTTAAAGGTCAACTCATTCTGTAGCTCTGATCTGTGGTAAGCATATCATTCTATAATATCTATAATCTTGCAATAAATGCCTATAAATTATTTTTCTTGCTATTTATATTTTTCTCTCTATTCAATTAGATTGAATTCTTCTACCAGGTGGCCATCATTATGTTGCACTTCGTGGAAAAACACAGCTGAATAGAAATTATAGCTGTAAAAGTCATGTGAGATAAGGTTTGCTGTCTACAAATCACTAAGGCTATTGATGAAATGCTTTTCTGCTCTAAGGCCCACCTAAATTGTATAAGTGACTTCTTTATTTTTAAAACAAAACCAAAGGCAGCCTTGTAATTACTTTTTATTAGGAGATAAATTCTGAGATTTCATTTAAGAAAGGTTTTGTGCTAGGTATTCAGAAGACTACATTTCCCAGAAACCTCTATGAGGAACTTCTCCCAAAGCAAGAGATCACATTCCTCCCATCTGGAATAGCATTTGCTAGTAGAGAATCCTATCCTGAGTATCATAAAGCATGCGACTGAGGAAAGAGTCAGTGTTTATTTATTACTGTAAATTCCAATAAATGAGTATTTTAAAGCACAAAACAACATTATTTTAAAGAAATTAATTTTGTTTTGTTCTATTGGGGAAATAAAGCCATTTAGCTTCAGAATCAATCATGGTTCCAAGTATGGGTAATTCCTCTCACTGAATGCAATAAAACCTAGATAAAACGCATGTAGCAGCTACTTAAAGGCTCTGAAAATACTAGCAGGCCAGTTAGGGAAGGAGTCAAGATCAGGCTGCCCAAAATCTGGAACTGGAGGTCACATAGAAAGATATCTTTAAAATCTCCCTTGATTTGACTTAGAAATCAGAAAAGGAGGCATTTTAATGCTCAGGTTGTAAAGGGGGGGGAGGAGGAGCTATACTTCTTTTTGTTTGAAAATCTTTTCTCCATTGTCTCATGTCTCCAGTCACTCCTGCAGTGGTGGCTGCACCAGCAGGAATCCACAGATGCCGAAAGCTCTGAGGGGAGAAACTTCTCCACTCAAAATAGCTATGGTCCGAGAGAGGGGAGTCTCTGCTATTTCTTGTCTCTTTCTGTCCTGACACCACTTGGCTCTGGATGCAGGTGCCATTGTGGGAAGCAGGCAGCAGAGTAGAGCAGTAAAGCTCTAGGCTCCAGCTCTCTGGTGAGCCCTACAGAAGAAAGCCAAATAATAATGATGGTAATAAAAGAAAGGAATTACTATTCAATTAAGCAAAATCTTGAAAGCAATTAGAAAATAATACACTCATTATTCAGGAATGACAGGAGTATAAACTTTCTCATTAGAATTATGGAGGGCAGAAAACAAACTGAAACAAAACTTTAAAACTGCTGAATGAAAAGACCAGTCAATGAACAAAAAATAAATCCTTCAGGAATGTAACATAAAGACATTCTTGATATAGGAAAACTTAAAAGATTTCATTGGTCCATAAATAGACACTTATGAAACATTCCACCTAACAAATGCAGAATATATTCTTTTCAAGTTCCAGGAAACATCCACCTTGACGGACTCTATACCATAAAGCAAACTTTTAAAAATAAAAATCACTTAAAATAGGTTCTCTAATTACAATAAGTTAGACCATAAGGGAGTCATTGAAAGATAACAGAAAGACAGAAGTCCTTTGGAAAATAACACTTCTGAATAATCTGCAGGTCTCAAGAGAAATTAGAAAGTTTTAGAACTGAATGTAAGTAAAAACAGAACAAGCTGAAATTTGTGCAGCCTGGCTCAAGCAGTAGTAAGAGGGGAGTAGGTAGCATTAAGCACCGATGAGAGGATGCTAGGGGCTAGGGAGGAAGGCTGTTGGGAGGTGGCCCTGGAACCAAAGAGTAGCACAAGTGATCCTCCTGATGGAAGTGCGCTGCTTCTTTTTTTTTTTTTTTAATTTATTTTCAGTGTTCATTTTGTGCATTTTCCCCTCTTGGTTGTAATCCCAAAAGCAGATGACTGGATTAAAAAAACGTGGTACATATACACAATGGAATATCACTCAGTAATCAAAAAAGGTAAACTTAAGCCTTTTGCAGCAACAGGGATGGAGCTGGACATGCTGCTTCTTAACTGTGGTGGTTGCTGGAGGAAATAATATATGTGATAAAATAATATATGTGATAAACTGCATATGAATGAATGTAAAACTGGTAAGATATGAATAGGTGAGTAGATTTATCGATGTCAATATCCCATGATATTATATTATCATATACAAGATGTTAGCACAGGGGGAATCTGGGTGACAAGTATATAGGACCTTTCTGTATTATCTTTCCAACTGCATGTAAGCCTTCAATTATCTCAAAGCAAAAAGTAATGAGAAGTCAACTCTCACACCTTGCTAGCAGGAGGGCAAAATGGTACATCCACTCCAGAAAAAATTTGGTAATTTCTTATAAACATGCATTGATCATGTGACCCAGCAATCACACTCATAGATATTAATCCTAAAAAGTGCAAATTCACGTCACACAAACACTGTACACAAATGTATGTAGCAGTTCTATTTACAACTGTTCAAAATCTGGGAACAACTTAAGTGTTCTTCAGGAAAGAAGTAAGCTGTAGTATATTCAGACAACAGAACATTACTTAACTCTTAAGTAGGATGGAACCACTGATACATGCAACCAATTGAATTAATCTCAAAGACTTTATACTTTGAAAGAAACCAGTCTCAAAAGGTTCTACTTATACGACACTGTCAAAAAGACAACCCTGCAGTCATGTAGAAGAGTGGCTGCCAGAGTTAGAGTGGGGGAAGCCCAGGGAGCTGTTTCTTTTGGGACCCTGGTTAAACATGACAGTGGTTGCAGGATCTATGCCTATGTTAAAATTCCTTGAACTGTGAACCAAAATGAAAAAGTCAATTTTTCTACATTTTAATTTAAAAATGCAACTTTGACATTTCAATCTTATAGTTAGTACATTCAAGGAGGTCTTTAAGTTACAGCATAATTTCAAATAAAGCAGTATTGAGAGAAATTGCCTTAGGCTTTATTTTATAGTATAATATGGGGCTCGTAAAGCATTATAATGAAATTTTCTTAATTCAAAGAAAATAGTTTTAATGTCAAAAATGCTCAGTAAACACCAACTAAAAGAATATTTATTTTAGTGGCCTCTATGTACAGTTGTAGACATGTTGAAAGTATCTGCTAATTTTTTAACATTTCAGTTTGCTGACACATCAATGGTGGTTATAATTACTAAATAGTAAATAAAAAGGTTAAATGACCTATAAATATACTGAAAGCTACTCAGGTAAAGTATCTGCTAATTTTTTAACATTTCAGTTTGCTGACACATCAATGGTGGTTATAATTACTAAATAGTAAATAAAAAGGTTAAATGACCTATAAATATACTGAAAGCTACTCAGGTAATTTAAACAAAGTTGGATTTTACAATTATTCAATTAAGATGTTAATTTAAAAATATGGCATTAGCTCAAATCAAGGATCATATGGATTAAAATCAGATAGATTATTGTCTGTGGGGTAATAAGAAAGTGTTGATTATTAGTCAATCCTATAAAATTTAAGTAAACAATCCAATCTAAAGCAGTTTTTTAAAAACATCCTTGAAAGTTGTTCAAAGACCAGTAGTGTTTAAAAGTGTATTCTAAATGCAACATTTAAGTCAGGGAAATGGTAAATACAATAAGCTCAAGTCAGCTTAGTTAAAAAAAATTACTTAGCTGCAATTAGGTGCTTCTATGAACATATAGGCTTCCAATTCTGGCTATGATTTCTCTAAATTTACAAAGGAGAAATAAAGTCAACCTAGCTAGGAAATGAATCAAACATTCAGTTGCCTCCAGACAGCTCTTTAGTAGATTGAATGACCTACACAGGACTTTCACTGATGATGTAAATCTGCATGGTCCAGATTTCCTTCATAGGTTATGAAACATTGGTCCCACTGTAGCGATGATATCTGCATAGGGAACACTCTGGTTCAGCTCAATTGCTCGCTGTTTTTTTAGGACAAGAAAACTATAAAATTTGGCAGCTGTTTGTTTTCGGTCACTATGTCTGCAGAGCTTCATCAGACTAAAGTACCGCATTCCCATCTTGTTGGATTCCTGGGGAAATAATCAGAAAGGAGGAAAGGGAAACGAGATCATTAAAAAATAGAACTGTTCTGTTCTATTAAATAGAACAGCTGTTATGTTAAAATGAACATACATAATGTTCATAATGAATAATAAAATATATCACAAACAACAAAATATCAGTAAATTTGATCAGTGACTATGAAATACTTAGATGGAGAAATGTAAATGACTTGTTAAGTAAACTTAAAAAAATCACTGTGGGTCATTGAGCACAAGCTTGATTCATTGAGGAAATGCATGCAAAAGAACTCTGAGGTGTTATACAAATTTCTAATGTGTTATAAAAAATGTTAAGTCTTTTAAAAAATCAATGTTAACATAAATGGCTCCTCTGGAAAGTGCAATTAGTTGAGACTGGTGAGGAAAAAAAATCCATGGGATTCTTTGGAGGCTTCAAAGACAAAATGACCAGCTTATCAGATTTCTTTTACCTAATGGTAATCTAAAATAATTCTAGTAGTAGATGTAAAAGTGTATTTGTGAATCTCAGTGGCAGGGAAGATCACTATAAACATCTATCTTTTTTATCACAAATTAAAAAGATATTATTTGAATATAGCTTAGAGCACTTGTAAATCTACTAGAAAAAACTGAGGTACAATAAAGTTTTCAAGTATGAAGGAAGATAATTCCCTCTATGAAGACTAGGACTTGGATTCAGATTCCAAGAATAGAGGTTTATTTTAGAAGTAGTTGAAGTTCCTGGCCATTGTCCCTTTGAGTATTGTGCTCCTTGGATAGCTGCATAACATTTTTAGAAATACCATATACAAGTTTCTTACTAGCCCAGAGGACTCAAGAAATGAGTAAATTAAACATTTTATCATATTTTATCTCAACCAAAAGAGTGGGCCAGAGTCAGCAAACTTCCAGAGCTGGCAGGCCAAGCCTCCCTGGATTCCCTCTCTTGAGACAAGAAGCCGACTGGGTGGCTTTTCTCCCCCTGTGAGAACTTTTTAACGTTCAAATATCCTTTAGAAAAGATCCCAGAGGAGATATAAAAGACTGAACAGATGTGCTTATTCTGTTTCTCTCAGAACCTCCCTGAAAATGAAGGTACAGGAATAAAAGACAATAAGGGAAAGAGGTAAACACAAAAGTGGAAGACTGACTCAGCAGAGTAGAGAAGGCTGAAACCTACAGAGAGCCAAGAGCAAGAAGGCCAGTGAGAAGCAGCCAACTGTGCTACAGAACCTTGGACAAGCCCAGCAGGTAGAGGCCAGCAGGCTAGGAGCTGGAGAGGAGAAGGTGAAAAAGAAAATTCCTTGGGAACAACGAGCCCCTCGGTCTGCTTCACCACCTTACAAAACCAGAGGACCACTGTGTACACCTTTCACCAATCTGCCTTTCTGGAGATTGGACACCAGATACTGGGGATTTGTGTCATAATACAACCTGGGAATTAAATCAAATCTACACTCAAAACAATATGAAAAAGTCTTTCCTTGACGCTGTTTTGATTTCTGAACTACAATACCTCCTATAGATAAGTTCCAGTAGAACTGAAGATTAAACTAGGATAACTGACACTCTGATAGGGGAAGAACTCCCATAGATAAAGAATATCTGTGTGTGGGGGGGTGTTGGGGTGGGGGTGTGCAGGGAGTCAGGGGAGGTAGAGGGGCTAACACTATCCAATTATCTTAACACAAAGAACCCAGGTCTATCAGCCACATCCATGCTTCTGGTCAGCTTTTTGGTGTCTGACTCACAGTAAACATCTGAGTAAAGTTTCTAACATGTAAAAGCAACAAAAAAGAAAGTTTTCAAGAGCTCACTAAGCAGGGACAATGCAGGGAGCGGAACCTATGAAAGTTAACAGCAGACATTGCTTCCATAACAAGTCATTAGGATGAGTCAAGAGATGTCTTCTGGGAGGGATGGAACCAGGGATTATCAAGAGGCACAAAGGAACTTTTAGGGGTTGAAGACATGTTCCCTATTTGATTGTGCGTCTCACTTCACAGGTAATTTAAATAGGTATGGTTTATTGTATCTCAATCATACCTCAATAAAATTGTTAAAAGCAAATTAAAAAATTCGTATACTACAAAACAAAAGAATAATAACTAAGAAAGAAACTACTGGAAAACAAAAGCTGAAGGCAGAAATAAAAATTCAACAAAGATTCAAGTTAAATTTGGAGAAATTTTCTAAAGAATAGAAAAATACAGAAAGTTAATGTAAGGGGTAAAAGATGTTTTAAAAACTAAAGGTGTAAGTCAGGAGATCTAACATATGACCCATAAGCAATCCAGAAAGAAAGAACAGATAAATAAGGAGAAAATCTTTTTAAGCCACAGATTTTTTTGGCTTTCTGTCACAATCAAACCTACATCACAATCACAACATAAATTTTGTGCTAAAAATATATACTGAGGGGGTAGGGAGAGATATAACTAAGTTAACTTTTCATTTTATGCTGATAGACAGAAAGACAAAATTTAAAGCTGAAATATCAACGAAGTAAAGTACATGTAATTAGAAATAGCTTAATACAGTTGTTTCTGTTGACTGATAAGGAGCAGAAGGACAAAGGATTCCTGTGTTTCCTTTCAGATGAATTGTATAAGTCTTTGAACACTATACACATGTATTATTTTGATAAAATATAAGTTAAAATTTTAAATGATCTGAGTGTCACTCTGAAACCACTATACACTTAGTTCCATATTGAGAATTACTTGATAACCTGCTAAACGCAAAATGGGCAAGGCATTGACTAGAACATCCCGGCACCAAAGCTAAACTCCCACATTTAGCCCTGCATTTGCTGCTCGAAATCTGCTTCAGGGAAAACAGTTTTATTCTTATATAGACCTAGAAGACAGACATAAATGTTTTTTAATTTTTAAATATAAAAAGAGGGTTGACAAACCCTACTATCTTACCCGCAATCTATGTAACATCTGAAGTAGTCTTCGATTCCATCTTTCTGCCTCAGTGCTTTGGTCACTCCCAAGTGATTCCTATTTGAATGATGGATAAAATATTTTATTTAAGGACGTTTAGCTAAATATTGACTATTTGTCAAATACAGTGTTAGCTGCTACAAGAAATTTTAACTGTAACATTGGGTCCACTAAGTAAGGAGCTTATAGGCCGATAACAAGAGAGTCAGATTGATATATTAAATATAGGTCAACCTTTGCAGGATTACAGCTCTACTCCCTAGGCTATCTGATAAGAACGCCAGGGTAGGAGATTTGGCAGTCCTTATTGGTAATGCATCCCAGGGCACTATGTTCTTACATTCAAAAATAAAGTCAGCAGGAAAACCACCTTTGGCTGAGATCATCCCAGCTCTGGTTAATCAGAGCTCAGCTGACAGGAATGCACATAAAATTACAGAAAAACTGCCTTGTAAAAACCTTTATCTGAATTTAAATGGCGATGCAGAAGCTATAACAATAACTGATATTTATTAGATTGTGTACAATTAGGTTATAAACCTTTTGGATTTTGAGGATGCCTTGGACAAAAGAAAAAAAAAAAGAACCCACTGCCTGTCATGAAGAGATTCATTCTTTTCAGTTTTAAAAACTTAGCCACCTTCAGAAACACCTTGGTGTCTGAAATCCCTTCACAGGAACTCACCCTAAGACTTTACCAAGTAACACTTTATAAGCTGAGAAGAGAAACTGGGCACAGGAAAGGTGCTGATGAGTCTGGTCTACAGAGGTTTGGGGGAAGGAAATCTGACCTACTTTATAATTTTTCCAAGGCTAGCTCTAACCATGCTCAATAGCATCTGTGTCATCATTATCACAGGTCCACTGTCAAGCCTTTATTCTTACCTCTAGAGTCCAAATACTTCCTTAAAATACTTGCAATTTCATGGGCTATACAATGATTTCAGAAAGTTTGAGAATATTCTCTATGACATTTTAAGTCATTTAAGGCTAAGAGAGTTACTGAGGTCTCATTCTCACCTGAGGGACAGGGATCAAGGAAATAAGACCATGATCTACATAAAGCCAGGTGAGTTAGACGTTACTTCTGTGTTTGCTATTATTTGTGTCCCTTTGAGCAAACCATTTTCCTTCTCTGATCTCTAGAAGCCTTGTACAAATATAGACCTTGTGATGTATGTTTTGAGGAAAAAGGGCAGAACCTACGTATACTATATCCCGTTTCACACTCCAAAAGATGATTTGAAAATAAGGTCATTTTATTCTGAAGAATTTTCCAAATCCCTCAAGCCATAATTTATGTTTATTCCTTTCTGGCCTGTCCTGAGATAAATATGCCCTTCCAATCATTAATATGTATTCTAATGTTAAATACACAATACTATTTTTCAAACTTAAAAAGCAAGGGTCCAACTCTTCATTAATAATCAATTAGACCCAGCACTACCTATAATGTACAGTTAAACCATTCAGGAAAAGCCTCTAAAGAAATAACCTGTGCACTTCGTGGAAGCCTGTCCACTTGATTTATCTGCACACTGTACAGCTGAATTTATTGTGTGCAAAGCTCAGAGGATCATTAGGATAGCTAATCTTATGCTGTGTCAAGATTTGCTTGACCATATGAAAATAACCTGTATCTACAGAAGCAAAGAGACAGTTGAAAAAGAATCAATTTGGAATAGTTGTTTGGATGTTTCAGGGGAAAAGTACAGGTATTTATTCTGTCCTAGATTATCCTGAGAATCCAGGCTGTTTTCCACATATGAAAAAAACAATCTAATAGTCTTGAAACTCATTATAAGGAAAATTTATTGAAAAAAAAAAGTAACATTGAATATTAATAGGAACTTTGACATCACTTACTAACAGAAGTGTTTGCTAGAATTCACCACAATATCTAAGATGCCTAGCGCCTTGAGGGACAGGGATCAAGGAAATAAGACCATGATCTACATAAAGCCAGGTGAGTTAGACGTTACTTCTGTGTTTGCTATTATTTGTGTCCCTTTGAACAAACCATTTTCCTTTTCTGATCTCTAGAAGCCTTGTACAAATATAGACCTTGTGATGTATGTTTTGAGGAAAAAGGGCAGACTTTTTTGATAAATAAAAAATTTCTAATGTGCTAGGCTATACTCCTTATAAAGCTCTATTTCTTTAGAGATGCAATAAACTTAAAACAGTGATTCTCCACATTTTAAACCAGTGGCTACTTCACACTTTTTGTTAAAATTATTTGAAGTTTCCAGATTAAGCAAGGAGAAAAAGGTAAAAGCAATTCTGCGTATATTTTGTCAAACCACTCATACACATCTTTGTTGAGATCTTTAAATTATAATTTTAGCAGTAACAGGACAGATCTAAAACCCTGTTTTTAGGTAAATAAGGTATTAAATATTTAGACACAAAGTTTTTAAGAACATTTCCAAGACTTTATATATATTTACCAATTCAACTGGGCAATTTTCGACTTCTTGTGACAAGATGCCATTTATAAAAGAGGATTCCTCAGCAGCTGAAGAAATCATTTCAACAATATCTAGCTAAAGTAAATTAGAGAAAGATAAGTCAGCAATAACAGTAGGGACACAGAACAATCTCATTTTGTTACATACTTCAATCACATAAGTGTTCATTTTTAAAACTAATCCAGAATACAACCTACAATCTCAAAACAGTATTTCTGCAAAACCCGATAGGGTGACACAGAATTAAATATTTCTATTTTGCATATGCCTCCTACATGAAGAATTAGCATGTCCCAGCCTCCTTGTTACCTGTTTTCCCCTGCTATTTCCCAGACTGCATCGTAAGTCTTGCTGCTATAAGGCCTAGACTACCTCCTTTTGAGTATTTTGTCTAATCTCAGTCCCCTCCTCTATTCTCATACCAGTACCAAGTGGCAGAGGCAGGAGATCTGTGAGCAAAGGGTGTAAGAATGAGGGAAGGGATAGTCATATCCTTTTCGAGGGCCAAGACCGAATTCTTGCCACTGCTGCTAGAGCTGTTACAGGCAAAAGGGAAGAAAAACTGTCCTCTGGAAGGTAAGCGAGTGCAGGGAGTAAGGAAAGGAAAAGGGGGAAGTCAGAAATTCTCTTTCCCTGTCAACTCCCTTTTTCCTTGCTGTGGGCCCCCTTTTCATCCTCAACCTATCTCCAAGCTTCTCTCCCCAGCTGTCATCTGTGATCTTGATTGTTATAAGCTTCCCACAACACAGTTTACTTGATTTTGTAACTGTAGCTTTTTACAATTTTTCATTTTATCATTTAATCTACATTTTTAGGGAGACTACTTGTGTTTTCTTGCCTTAAATTTTTGTGAATGTTTTACATTTGAGATATGCTTAATTTTGCAATTACTTTACATAAAAATTCTATTTTATAAAGACCTGAAAATGTTTGATTGGAATCAATCTTTTCTTGTCTTCACACTCCCATGCCTGATTATTTCACATCTGTTCACCATTTTGGGATTCAGAATAAGAATGGAATTAAGTGGTTAAAGTATAAGCATAGGACGGGACTATGGTGGTGGCACAGGGGTGATTTGGTGATGGGAAACCCGTGGGGATTACAATTGAGATGAAAAAAAAATGTGCAAAATGATGTAAAAATAAACTTTTTAATAAAAAAAAAAGTATAAGCATAGGGTAAAGTAGTAGTAAAAGTTTCAAAAGAAATGGTGCATCAATCTCCTTCATCTCAAGCACTTGGGAAAATATATTTTATTAATTTGCTAAAAATCATAAACTAAACAAAATTTCCTAATACCTCTCATAATTTCCAGTTGCTCACCCTAAGAAATATCCATGTCCAAATAACGATATGAGATGCCGGTAACCTAGTATCTCAAAATCTAGTATATTATCAAATACTTTGCAAAACACATTCTGATTTAATTAATTATAAAACTGTCTTTCCTGCCAAGGGGATTCAGTTTCATTGTGGATTGATTTTAAATTCCCTGGGTGGTTATCAAAATACAGTGATGAAAAAACAGACCAGAAAGGTCCTACCATATTTTTGTCTGGTATGGGTTTAATATTTACATTTGTATAACCAATGAAGTAACAACTGTGGAAAATGCTTTAAAGCATATTGTTTGTAACTATGTTTTCCAAATAAAAACTATGTCTTCAAATAAAAAAGTTTTAAATTTTGCTTTGATCATAGATTTTTTTTAACACTTTCAGATCCAAGAGTAAGGTAATTTGGTGGGTCTAAAACATTATTCTTGGTGGTAAGAATTCTATGGGCACTACACCTGAGAAAAGAAAGCTAATATTGTACAAAAATAAACAATGATGTAAAATATATATAAATAAATAAATTATATATTATAAAACACAAAGTTACTAACATGCTTATAAAAAATAAAACATACTATTCTTAAGGCCAGAGGATCATTTTGTTATCAGAAACAAAACATAGACTTATTGTGTAGAGTTCTAACAGATTCCATGATACATTGAACATGGTGAGGGGAAGTCTAGCTGGATTGTCAGCACAGAGACAAATTCAAGAACAGACAATTATTTAAGGCACTAGGTAAAATAAGGCAAAAAGCCATTTCAATAAATTAAAATTCTAGAAAATACCGTTTGCTGATAAAAATTAAGTTTCACCCTATTGTCCTATTACTTAATAAAAAATAGGGCAATATAAGATGAAATATAAATTATGAATGTAAAATAAGAGCAGAATCTCAATGTCCCTTTACTACATTTGTGTTAGAAAAATGTTAAAATTTTAATGGATTCTCTCTGGTGAACTTACCTCAGAATTAATATTTTTGATGGCATCTTCATGAGAGTTACACTTAGATCCGTTAATCACACCCTTCCAAATTTGGGCTTGACTTAACTCTCGCTGGAAATTTGGCCCTTCCATCAGAGAGTTTTCTAAATTATTAAGTAAAGAATATTTCACCACAATATTTTTCAAACTTAAATTGTAATATAGTTGTTACAAAAGAAAACGGACAGCTATCTCCAAGAATTTAAACGAAATGTGCACAAGTTTTCTTACAACTCTCTAAGTTTCATAGTCTATTTCCCCTCTCCCTCTCTCCCTCCATGCCCTGCCAGCTGTTCCTCTACACTCACTTCCACACATTTCTTCACAAGACAACGTGGACAGCTCAAGATCACCTTTGTATATTGTTCAGTGGATTTTAACGTCTTTATGAAGGGTGATCAGGAAGTGAAAATTCACTTATAATTTGGGTTTATGATTACATTATGACTGTCACAATATAGACAGCAATTATTATTGCATATATTCTATGGTGGATAGAAAAATGTCTCAAGTAAATTGTGTTGTTTAAATGCTATTCTTATTACCTCATTTTTTTTCATGTTAGTTGTTTTAAGGCAAAACAGTATGCTACTAAATATAAAAAATATTATCTTTGTTGGCTTGAGAGCAGGAAAAGTAGGAAAGGGTGAGATTAAGGATAGTCCACATAATATACTACTTTATGTAGTCTGTTGGACAAAAACTAATCCATAAAGCAGATAAAGCCAATTCTAGCAACACAACTTGTGTTCAAATATTCTTCTGGAGATAATGTTTATACTTGGAAATCAGGAATTTGATCCCTCCTTCATTTAATGTAAAGTGATATTTTTCCTACAACATTCCCTCGAAACCAGCAGAGTTGGGACATCTCACCTACTATGTTTTCCCTTTCATTTTCTTGCCTGACTGATTCCTTCTGTATCAATTTCCTTGCAAGTTTAAAGCCAGAGGACAGAAAGCACTTTGTAAACAACTGTAAAAGTAAGCAATTTTGGGTTTTGTACAAGAAGACAGTACAATAAAATACAAGTACATATCCTAAAGAGCAAAACTATAATTCGTGCACATACATTCAACAAACTAATTCAAAAGTAAGCAGAATTTTTTTCAGAAGTTTAAATTCTGTTGTATATGTGTATGTAAGTATACATTTAATTACAGTCAAACATTGCACCCATGTAAAAGATTGGAAATTATTACCAATTTCAGTTCAGCATGAGTCAAATCCTGGGCGGCAGTTGACAGAAGTGTGTCCACTCCTCCCTTTTTCTTCCACATCATCAGTCTTTGGGTAGGGGGTGCAAGTTCCAGAACCATGAGTGTGTCCGTAAAGGAAGTAAGTTGTCTATGCATAATTTTACTACTGATCTCCTTGACTGGATCGATGAGCAATTTCCTCTTTTTGCTTTTCCTTTTATCAACAATGTCTAAATATAAGAAATAGGTACAATGTGACTGTTTGTTACTTTGTAAGATGATACTGTATATCTAAGATATATACCACAATACACCCTACAGTGTTGGCTAGGGGCAAAAACTCCCCTTCCCTCTACTAAAATTTCTGCTTCACAAGGTTTTTGTCCAGATAGAGTGCTTGAGCAGCCAATAGTTGACACATTTTGGAAAGTTGTTCAAAGATACTTAGAAGAAAGGACTCTTTTGACCTACTAAGTAGACAATTGAAAAAACATGAAGCAGAGGGTATGAATGTCAGGGAAGTCACTCAATTTTGAGGTTCCCTGGGTTACCTACATAACAGGACAACTTTTGAAATATTAATTTGTATTTGTATAGTGTGTTTTTCTCTGCCCTACCGAAATACACACACAAATTCCAAGTTGGTGGTTAGGTCCATAGGATTTCACTTCTTTCACTTATTTTACCAGAGAGAAAGCAGAAGTCAAGCTTTTCCTTAGGAAAGAAGCAAAAGGGGAGGGAAGTTAGGTTTCCCCAGAATGGCTGAGGATCTGAGATCCGATGAAGCCAGAAGGGACAGAAACCTGCTTGTTGATGGGCTCAGTAAAACCCTGGGAACATGCCAAGATCCCAGAAGGGCAGGCTGCCTGATGACCCCAGAATCTATGTCGTCTGGGCCAGGGAGCACAATGAGTTGGTGTAGCTGATGACCAGGTGTTCCCTTCCACCAGCTACCTCTCTCCCCCAAGTTTTGATATGACATAGTTAGGGCAAATAGAAGGGCTATGCACTTTGAAATTCTTGACAGGCCCGAGGGATAAAATCTGAGAATTGAATTTAGTAAAGAAATTTGAATGCTTCATTCCTGACATGCTTGAGTGCATAATCTTAAATTTCAAATCAATCATACTATTTAAAACTAGGATCCTTAAAAGGAAGGCCTAGTTAGTTTTATGTATTGTTTGTTCCTCAAAACATGCTTGAGGTCAAACATTTGAGGGCATGGTACTCCTCCCTCAATTCTTTCCTTCTGTCTTATTTTACATTCATTTGTATATCTATGATGTTCTTGATCAGACTCTAAATCTTCTTTAGAGTAGAAAGTATGTCTTCATTCCTGTTCTCAACACAGAGTAGTGGCTCAATAACTACTGGAGCTGAACTAATTTTTAAAATGTTTAGTTTCCCACCCCGATATACAGTTTTACCAAGATTAAATAGAAACAAGGATTATCTACTCCTCCCCTAGCATAAATGTTATTACCAGATGTTTTGCCCTCTATAATATTTCATAAATCATTTAGACATCTCACAGTAAACAAGACAGAAGTGTCACAAAAATAAAAATAAAAACATGAATGACTGACCTGAAGCATTAATTGGGTCAAGTGTGAATCCTTCCTCTTCATTTGATATTATGGTTTCATTTATTTTTTCTTTTTCAGGAAGGCATATATTCTCTGGATTACCTGGTTCTATTAATCAACATCACCATAAAAGAAATTAGCTTTAAAATGTTAGGTTGCAAGATAGAGGACTATGTGAGAATTAAAGTGATAAAGATAAATAATTGAAGATATTTTAGTAAACTGGAGTCACATCTGAATTCTTAGAATTCTTCATTTAATAGAATTGAAGGGGCCCAGAGATTACAAGACCTGGGGCCCACAGTGTCCTTTGCACATGTGAAAGCTTGGCTGGGCTACCATTATAAATCACTGATCTAAGTTTGACTATCTGTCTGCTAAAAAAATTTTGCTATTTATTATTTATTTTTGTAAAATCACTTATTTGTTTACCCACAAAGAACTGTAACTAAATTTTTATTGCAAATCCTTTTGTATTTTTAATTTCTACTCTTATACAATATTAGAAAGAAAATGTAACACCAAAAAGAGGGAAAAATCAAAATAGGCTAACAGTACTTTTAATTCTGAAGAAAATTCACACTAAAAAAAATCAAATCACCTAAGGTATTTCACATGAATTTATCCCCACACTTTTAATCTCTGTATGTAAATTAAAGCTGTATGTAGTTGGCAAGTCACATTAATATTAACATGGCATTAATATTGTTAATATAAAAAATAACCATACTAATGTTAAACATTATGCTTTTACCATGCAACCTGTTATTTTAATGATTCAAAAGTATAGTATGAGGTAGAGTGTTTAGTTTGCTCTTCATGCTAAATAAACCTAACCCTAGTTAAATACCTATCATTGTACCTTTCACAGGCCCATTTTTAAATTCTAGTTGTCTAGAATCAGACTAAAAGATTATGAGAAGACATTCTCTGTTCTCTTTTACTATACCATACTGCTATTTAAACTCACAAGTTCTGAAGCTTAATTTGAATATTAGTAACTGCTCACTTTCTACACAAAGGAAATTTTCAACATACCTACTAATATATCCGGAGGCTCAGGAGGCAGGGATATTTCTCTGTTCAGTGGTATATCTTCTAACAGGATATTCTGATCATCTTGCAAGAGGTTGTCTTGATAAATACAGTAAAGACTTTGGTCATACATATTGAATCTGTCATTTGTTCACTAAACATTTATTGGCATGATTGTATGCAAAGGATTGTGATAGAATACAAAAATGAATGAGACTTGTTTAGATTTGATCGACTATACGTCACATTTCATGTAGGTTAACACAAAACTTCACATATTTAATTTCCTTTCCTTTATTCAAAATGTACTTTCTGATGTTTAGTTTCAGCAACTAGCACCAAGATAGTAGTACTATTACAGAGTCATATTTAGATTTCAAACAAGAAAAAGGAGTGTCCAAACTCATTTGATGGAGATCTAGCATAGTCACTGTTTTTTCAGTTTTCAAATTTCAAAAAGTTTACCATAACCAGACTTGTAGTATAACCTAGAGAATTTTTTAAAATGTTGACATATAATAGTCAATATCATTAAAATACATGCACTTGGAGTTCCCAGTTTTTGTATACCTAACTTCTATGATTACTGCACATCAAAAAATAAAAGTGAAATGCTAGACAGAGCCTTTAGAATAGCTGTCCCATAATTTATGTTAGCAAAAAAAATCAGTATTTTCTAGTATCATCTAGTATATTTTGGAAGGAATTAGGAATTCCTCTAAAAATTAGGAATTTGTAAGATTTATTTTTAAAGTAGTGTTTTAAACCTAGATAGAAATTGTGTTAAAACAGATGGCCATTTACTTAGACCTAACCATATACATGTAAACATGTGTTGACATTGAAGTATATCCGAATTTTTTTTTTGAAAATACTATTTTTTTAGTTCTTTTCTATATTTCTTACACATACATCTTACAGCTTATTTTAAAATAATGTTCTCAAGAGTCATGGATGTAGTACCATCATTCAAAGCTGACATGTTAATGACCTTTCAGATTCAGTTACAGGTAATTATTCACCTGTACAATTATGAAAACTAATAGTAAAATATGTTAAAATACCAGCATTTTATGATTGTCCAGTTGCCTTCTTGAAGTAGTAGCTTGCAAGTGTTTTTGGTGATTCTTGAGTTGGAAGCTATATAACCCACAATTAAAAACTGGGAAATTTGTGAAGAACCTATTTTGTGAAACATTTTGATGGTATTGACTTTATCTTTTCTCAGATCAGATTGCATTATTTAAGCATTATGGAATTCATAATGATTTTTCTCTAGGAAATCTGACTGAACTACTTCTGTAGCATTCATAAAGTCTTTTATTTCAGATGATAAAGCATAATTGAATTTTTAGTTTGAGCTAATAAGTCTAATAAATTGTAAAAATTAGATTGAAATATATACCAGACAGCATACCAATCATTTCTCCTGCAGCCCCTTCATCTCCAAATCCATCTCCACTGTCATAGAACAGAGGTTTATCACCAGCAAGACTTCCAGAACTATGTTCAACTAAAGGACCACTGGAATTCAGTAAGATGTTGTCATCAAAGAAGCTATTTCTTCTGAGAACTTCAGATTCCTCTCCTAAATATGTCATTAATGAGTTAGTCATGGAAATTCAGGATTAGGAGAAAATCTAGATATTCTTATAAACAGGTATCTTATAGAAAAAGAGAATGGGAACTATAAAACCTATTTGAAATCAGTAAACAAAAGTCACTCAGTTATTCAATGAAGATTCCTAGTCTAATGTTTCTAATACAATAGGAGGGGAAAGACCAAGCATTAGGATAGAGCTTTTGGTTGTGGTATAGTTTAATAATTTCCCAAAAGTTTACTATTGATAGTGGAATCATAATTTCTCCTATCCTAGTTAGGCCATGCCCTATCTGATCAAGTACTATTTCCAGGACAATTGCTTGTGTTGCTTATCCATAATGGAGGTTTGGAAAGTAAGAACAAGAACTGCCTTCTTAGAAATTGAAAGTCAGGTAAAATATTAAAGAATGGGGGCCCTCCCTGGTGGCGCAGCGGGTTAAAGCACAGCACTAAGAAGCTAAAGCCACTTCCTCATGAGTTCGATCCCCGCCTGCCCCAGAGGAGATCCGCATGGCGTGGCAGACCTCTCCTGACCCGCCCGCTGCTTCCCTCAGCAGTGTACTTCCTGGATCTGCCTGTTCTGCTCCCCACTCTGTCTGGTGAATCTTCTCACCCTCCGCATCTCTGGACTGTACCCCAGTTCTGTATAAATAAATAAATAAATCTTTAAAAAATATATTAAAGAATGGGCGTATAACATTCATTCTACAATATTTTTTGAATACATGAGTAATAGGTTAACATTAACTGTGCTTATACTATGCAGTAAACTATGTAATAGAGAATATTATTACCATCCTGTATAGACAAGGAAATATGCACACATAAGGTTTTATGACTTGCATGGTCATACCTTAATAAATGATAGTACCAACAATTGAACCCAGCAGAGAAAGTGATAATATCAGTATTAGAATTCTGTCTGGTAAACTATTTTGCAAAAAGGAGATTTATGAGTAAAAACTTCAAGCACCTAATGGCAGCAGATAAAATGAATTCCTTGCAGAGGAATCTAACATAAAAATGGAATTTAAGAATAAGTTGTTTTACAAGCTGCATAAAACATGCAAGAGACTGGAAGAAGATATGGTAGAGGTATTAGTCTCGATCTTTAGAATTGGTGAACTATAGGGAAACAGAAAGAAGACCTAAAGACATTTCAGATTTTTTTTTAAATTGCCCTATTATGAAATTTATAGAAAGCATAATTAAAAGTGATCCTAAAGTTTTAGGCCTGAGGATAGTAGCATTCACAGAGAAACATATAAAAAGTTATCTTGAGTAGAAGGGAATGTAATTAATTCTGTCAAAGTTTGAGGGTTACAGCCAGATCTAGGTCCATACTCATCAAAGTAAGTTCTGTGGACTAGTGCTGCTCAAGGACACAGTAAATACACAAATTACAAGTAATTGTTTAGTAAGATTTTTTGGTTTTGTTTTGTGTAGAAGCACTGAGGTGCAGGCCAGAGGTGTAGGGGAAGGGAGGAGGGAAGATTTATCAGAGACAGAGCGGGGAGCAGAACTGGTAGATTTACTGAAACAAACTGCTCAGGGGAGCAGCGGGCAACACAGGAGAGGTCTACTACACCATGTGGGTCAGCTCCCTGGCTGGGGATCGAACTCAGGCTACAGCAGTGATAGTGCTGAGACTTAACTCCTGGGCCACCAGGGAGGCCCAGTGTTTATAAAGTTTTATAGCAACCTCAAAGAGTAATTTTATTTGCATTGAATCTAGTAACAAACTTGAGTCTCACATTTTAATTTCTAAGATTTTGTAGTAAATATTTATTGTATTTTACAAATGCATGGTTCCATGTCAGATGGAAAACTGACAAAAATTATAAAACTACCATTAACCTCAGATGATTTCAAAAATCAGCCACAGATGGTAGAGTTATGGAAGGAGAGTTAGAATGAGAAGTAGAGGTTAGAGATGTAGCTCAAGCATCACCTCCTACTTCCTTTATCACCTTCCTTCACTAAATCCAAGATATTTATTCAGGCCATCTTTCTCCCATATTCACTGCTTGAGTACTATAAAAAATTCAAAAATGAATATGATAAATAGCTCATCCTCATGGAATTTTCAGACCAATAGAGGTATCTAAGTGTGATAAAAGACAGAATGGGGCCCTCCCTGGTGGCGCAATGGGTTGGAGTGCAGAACTGCAAACTAGTCACAGCTGTTTCAGTGAGAGTTCAATCCCCCACCCAAGGTGATCCACATAGCGTAGCAGACCTCCCCCCACATGCTTGCTGCTCCCCTCAGCAGTGTACTTCCTCCATCTGCCTGTTCTGCTCCCCACACTGACTCTGGTGAATTCTCTCACTGCTCCTACATCTCTGGCCTGTACCCCAGTTCTGTGTACGTAAATAAAGAAATCTTAAAAAAAAAACCAGAATGGTAGTTTCAATTATAAAACACACTCCACAGTTCCTGTGTCATAATCAATGTGTATTTAGTATGTAGAATTTCCTTCTTCTTACTAAGCAAGCTATTTTTTTTTAAGATTTATTTATTTATGCTTACAGAACTGGGGTATAGGCCAGAGGTGTGGTGGGTGAGAAGATTCACCAGAGACAGTGGGGCGCAGAACAGGCAGATTGACAAAGTGTACTGCTGAGGACAGCAGTGGGCTGGTTAGAAGAGGTCTGCCATGCCATGTGGGTCAGCTCCCTGGCCAGGTATCGAACTCATGCTATAGTGGCTTCGGAGAGCTTCATAATGCAGTGCTTCAACCCATTGTGCCACCAGGGAGAACCCACTAAGCTTATTTTTAACTTATTATTTTATAATTTATATCACCATATATTAGAGAAAATACCATATTTTAAAGGCATTGTATATAGCACACGTGTAAAAGCCTAATACATGTTAACTATAGGAACTATTTAGTTATGTCTCTCTCCCAATCTGAAATTCTTTGAGCACAGGAAATGCATCTTTAAAGTCTGTAGCACTCAAGTCTATAAAAAAGGCAAGGAAAAACTTATTGGGAGCCACATTCATTCCACAATCAAAAGATTCATTCCAAAAATATTTCTATTGTCATAAAATAGCTACTCTTGGCAATGTTTCAATGCAAAAATGTAAATATAGTTGACTTTTATCATTTCAAATTCTCAAATATTCTCACCAAAGCTCCCAGCTTGGAAAAGGAGATCATTGCTATAATCTTCTCTAAGTGTGATATCTTCAGGTTTACTTTGGTTCTGAGTAAAGTGTTGTGAAACATCAATAGTACTATGGAGAAATGTAAGCATGAGGAAAACATGTTAACAGGACACAGTGACTTGTAGTACACTGAAAAAAATCTAAAACAAAAACAAGTTTTATTATAAAGACTTTTGTTTTTCAATAGCATTATCCTTACCTTACTTACCCTAACCAGTAGCAACTGAAACAGACGTTCACTCCTGTTCTTCTCTTGGTCTTGGAAGACTACTTTCTCTTGATTTTCCTCCTACCTCATCAGGTGCTTCTTTTCCATCTCCTTTTTACTTCTTCTTCATCTTCCAGAATACTAACTACTGGGAATGCCCAATATTCATATCCTCAGAACTTTCTCTTTTTAAAATCTACATGCACTCCCTTGGGAACTTGTCAGGCCTGATAGTCTATCCATAGCCTCACAACTCCCCATTTTATATATCCAGTATAGTCCAGACCACTCTCCTGAATTTCAAACTCGGTATTCAACTGCTTATCTATCCCCTTGGATGTGCACAGTCATCTCAAAACCTATATCCAAAACCTAACTTCCTGCTTTCACCCTTCTTAAACCTGCTATTCCCTCGTGATATTAATCTCCTTTATGACAATTCCATTCTCATGTCAAAATTCAAACAGTCATGCCTCACTTCTCTTTCTCTTGAAGTTATACTCAGTCCTTCACCAAATCCTATTGGCTCTACCCTTCAAAAATATGCTCATAATATATGCATCATCAGCCTACACCTGGGCTTCTCACTGCAATAATTTCTTTTTTCACAGGCTCTCTGCTTCTTCTCTTTCCTTGTTGTAGTAAGTAGCCAGAGGAAACATGCTATAATCAAGTCAGGTGCAGTCACTCTTCCTGTCACTGTCATTCAAAACTGTGGTGTCTGCATAAAATAAAAGTCTTTATTGCAACCTACAACACCCTATATCACCTGACCCCCAGTTACCGCTTTGACCTGATATCCTACCACCCAAGCGCATTATTTACTTCACTCCAGTCTTGTGCCTCCTTGTACTCCTTGAAAATGTCCATTGTGCTCCGCCTTAGGGCCCTTCCATCTGCTTGACCTGGAACATTGTTCTGTACATTACTGAATAATCTGTCCCTTCATCTCCTGTGAGTTTCTGCTCTGACCTTATTAGAAAGACTTTCCTAATTATCCTTTTAATTAGTTTTTCTATTTCTCTTTATAATATTGATCATTTCCTAGCATATTGTATATTTACTTGTTTACTTTTCTGTCTATCCCAGCTAAATTGTTAAGATTCACAAGGTCAAGAACTGCCTTTTACCCACTACTATCGCTTCCAAGCCTAACACAAATAACTGGCTTTTTATTGAATAAGTGAATGACTATACTGTCATTATTGCATACCACATTCCACACAAAAGTACACATTTCTAGTGAAGTTTCAAAATTCACATTAAATTTGAGTTTGCCTATGTATGTCAACTGTTAACTATATTCCATGTGTATTTATGAAATCTAAAGATAAAAATAGCAAAGAAAATAAAACTGAAGGGGAATAATAAAAATAATTTACTTCATATTCTGGGTGTCAAAATCATGAAATTCTTCTGGCAATGTGATAGCATTGTAAGCTGCTTCAAAATTCTCTCTTGGAAGGTCAACTAGTCCTGAAAAGAACCAAAACCACGTTCAATAAGCAGTGATGTTGTGTAAGTAAGACAGCCCTAACTAAACTCCACTTTCTCTTACTGGTCAACTCCTTAGTCTTCTAACTAGCTTCCCAAATCCATTCCTACCTGTTTTCAGTACATTCTCTACCATGAAACTTGAGTGATATTTTAAAAATACAATCAGATCAGGTCACTCCCACCCTTGAAATCATTCAGTGACTTCCCCAGTGCATTGAAATAAAATACAAATTTCTAATCAGGGCCTCTGAAGCCTAACAGATCTATCAGTGTCATCTAACGACACTCTTTCCCTCTCTCACTGTGCTCCAACCATACTGGCCTTTTTGTTCCCTCAACAAGACAAGTAAACTTTCCACCTCAAGACCTTTGCTCTTGCAATTCCCTCTGCCCAGAATGCTATTCCCTCAGGACTTTTTACATGGTTGGGTACTTCTCATTCTTCAGGTTTGAGCTTTAATTCTATCTTCTTGGAAAGGCTTTTCCCAATTAATTAACTAAAGGAGATTTTTCTTATTTTCCATGGTAGTACTCTTCAAATTTCTTCTTAGCATAAATACAATTATTGTAGTAATTTAATAAATTTTTCATTATCTGATTTCCTCACGAGACTGAAAGGGACCTTGTTATTCTTGTTGGTCTTGTATCCCAGAACCTAACATGTTTGGCACAAAGTATGGAATCAATAAGTATTCGTAGAAGATATAAATGAAATAATGAACAAATGAACTATATTTGATGTGAGTATAACTCTACCAAGAGCTTCTACAAATATTTTAAATAAAGAAAAAAAACTGAAAATCTTGATTCAACAAATATTAATTAAGAGAATAGTATCTGCAAAGCATTACACAGTCCAGTAAGAAATTCAGAAATTTACGATGACAAAAACGTTTCCTTGGAGAAGCTTGTAGACTAGTGAGAAGCAAATCTTATACCTAAATAACTGTAATATAAAGGGGAAAATGGTGAATATCTAAAAATGGAGCAGTTATGTAAGTTAAATACCTTTTGAAGATATTATAGTCATGACACATGTAACTCTCTAGCACTTTGGAATGCCTACAGATTTTCTTACAATATTTCACAAATAACATGCTACTTATGACTCTTTAGAATTCTGAAAACAGTGACAATTATTGATATCTAGATTTTGTCAATCACATTATTTCTAATTTCTCTCATAAAGACAAAAAGAGATAGGCAAGCTAAATGACCTATTAAAAACAGAATATCTGAATTTCTTACACAAGTGTGATAGTTTAAAGTATATTTCTTATGTAAATATGGAGGAACATTACACATTTTTGAAAGCTTAACTTTTCCTGCAACAAAGGAAGAGCAAAGGAAAGACTGATTGTCTTTAACCATGGGGACTTAGTTTCAGTCAAAATGACTGACAGTCACTAAACTCTGGAATTACAAAGTGCTGCCAATTACGAGAACTCACTCAAAATGAAAATACAGAAGTGGACCAAGGCAAGTGAGATAAATCAATATAACATGGATACCTGGGCGAAAGGTCATCTTCATTTTAAGAAATGCTTCACTGCAATCTGCCAAAAGATATTTTGCCTTCCTATTATAGATTCGAACAACTCCCAAAAGAAGATGTCCTGAAGTTCGAAGTGCAATTTTCACCTTTTAATAATTTTTAAAATATTAGAATATTAAAAATTAGATTCAACACCCTGTTCTTTGAAAACTACAAAGTCACAGAAATCTCATCTATTTACAAAGTAGACTTTTTGTACTAATACAATTTAAAGTAAAACACTTATCTCTTAATTTGTAAAATGATTGGCTTTTTTTCTTACTCAATGAAGATGTTGTAATGTGGCATTTAAGTGGAGAAGAACACCATTATTGGCTTCATGGGACACTATAAACTCTGTAATCACACAGACCTGGGTTCAAGTATTGGCTCAATTGCTGAGTCTGAGTCACTTAACCTTCCTGAATTTCAATTTATTAATAATGGTTACAGTTTATATACACTTATATTGTAATCAGGAATTATTTTAAGAGCTTTTCATGCCTTTATTTAATTTTAAAAATCTCTATTTACAGAAGAAAGAACTCAGACTCAGATATGTTAAGTAGCAAGCCCAAAGTAACACAACTGTTAAATGCTTGAACAGGAATTAAATTTAAATTTCATCCATCCAAAAGCTCATGTTGTATACACCACACATCACGAAGCTAAAAGAAGTTCATCTCATAGGGTTGTTATGAAGAGTAACAAAAGTCTAGTCCAGTGCCTGACACCTGGTAGGTTTTCAATTATAATTCTTCCTTCTCTCAAGCAGAAAAATACTTAGCCTATAATAATATTAAAATAATAATTTAATGCAAATCCTAACAGCTTACTATGGTATTCATAATGAACTTAGTATTGTTTATAAAGTGCTCTTATACATTTCTGATTTCTTTCTTCTTTAATCCTCTCTATTCTCCCTAGTCCTCACTCCTTTTTTAAGAAATACTTGGCACCGACAATTTCATTAAGAAGCAAGGATTACACAATGTGGTCTTTATCCTTTAGGGCCCAATCAATTTTTGATAAGCATATGAAAAAATTACCAGCATAAATTTTTATGCTTATAAATGGAATTAGAAGAAAGATCACTTAAGAAGTAAAATTTCCTTGGAAATGAATTTCATGATGTAATTTAATTCTTCCCTGTTTACAAGTTATAGCATCATATACCATTCTTTTAATCAAAAACGTACCTTAGGTGAAAGAATTTTTTCAATGGTCATCTCCAGATTACATTCAAATACATGGGCCTTTGTGAGTTTCTTCTCCCAATGAGCTGCAAGCCATATTTTAGCCAATGGCCCTCGCTTACTCATAAGCACTTGAGTGTAGAACATGTTGCCTGTATTCTTTAGTTAATGAACTAAAGAGAACAATACAAATATTTTAAAACTGATTATAAAAATCTTTCAGTGTTTATTTAAGCACGTAAAACATTATTCAAAATTCTATAAAATAATCCCATTTTATCTTCTAACGCAATGTCTTATTCAAATTCTTTTCTAATTAAGAAACCTTTTTGTTTTGTTTTGTTTTTTGTTTTTTTATAAGTTTATTTTACATTTTTACATTTTTTTTCATCCTAATTAAGAAACCTTTAAACTAATTCTTTTCTAATAAAGAAAACCCCTGTATTTAATCTACAAAATCAGACTAATGTTCACTCTATTAATGATCACTGGTTTGATCACTAATGTTACAACTTACTTATTTTATCTTACAAAGGTCTGATTATTAATAACGTCAAATAAAGAAGGAAGAATGGAAAAACAGGAGATGGGAATCAGAAGGAGACAATAGGGTAGAAAAGGTGTATGTAGCAAACTAAGAAAAGTGAACACAGGTTATTGCTCTTTTAAAACAAGAATTTGAGAAGGGTTGGATTGATACCCAGAAGTTGAATTGGTTGATGCTTTGGTTTATTCAACAATATATTAACTTTTGAAGTAAAAATAATGGAATTTCAAAGTGGAAAAATCCAGAAAATAAGTAGCCACGGGAAGGAAATCAGAAGGGAAGGAACAAGGACCCAATTAAAATGTTTTGAACTAAGATGGCCAAAAATGTATGCACATTACTACAAGGCGTCCTATTTTCAATAAACTCTCACAGATCTATTATTAAGCAACGGGATGTCAGACATTGGTTGACTCGGACAGAGGATCGAGTTGCTTACATAAAAGTAGACAAACTGCTTAGAAGCGGTTTTCTAATTCGCTAAAGTCCTGATAAAAGAGAAAACTGAGCCAAAATAAAAGCAAAAACTAAAATCAGCATGAATTCACAATGTAGAACCCTGATCCACGCCCATGTCCACCCCAAGAATGTAATCGACCAAAGCACACGTCCCGTGGGGCAGCGGGCGATTTCCATGTTTGTGCGTGGGCTTTGCCTTGCCTCCACTTTCTTCCTTTCTAGTCCGCGTGTTTGCTATCTTGGAAAAATTCCCAATTTACCTTTTAAATTGCTCTCAGGTACACGATTATCGATGTACTGGGCGGGGGGTGGGGGGTGCTGCAGGCCTGTTATTTAGTATTACCGAGACTGGTTTTCCCGAGCACATTATCACCGCCCCTCTCAACCCCAAAGGTCCCACGGGGTGTTTCCAGACGGACTGATGGTGCAGAGTAAAGCTAACGATTAATACAATGCCTTT